TAAAAAATGAAATCTTTTCATGCTCCAAATTAGACCTGTCACTATTCAGCGATGGGAGAAATATCTAAAACTTTGGCACAGAAGAGGACCTATATAAAGCAATTTTTCACCTCAATGCTAAATCTGTAGGTCCGTATAATTCCATTCCTCAGTTCAGTTATACCATGCAAAAGCCTGGGCTGCTTGCTTTCTAAAAACAGATGCAGGGAAACAGACCAAACTAACACGAAGGTATATTTAATAGGCAAACATCGGTCGATAGGAAGTCAAAGTCAAAAAAAAAAAAAAAGAAGGCAGTACTTATTGAGAGGACAGAAAAGCTCCCACAGTGGGAGGGGACCCGAAGGGATTACCCAGAAGGAGTATTTTTATGGAACTTTTGACTATAAGGACTGAGAGGTCCTGGGCAAAACTTTGTAGATGAATGGATACTGGAACAAATGAATTGGCCTGAGTTGGGTGGAATTGGTTAGGAAAACAGAAGCTTCTTGGAAAATATATGTGTTTTTTTTTTTTAGTTTTTTTTTTCAAATTCAGAGTCTCACTGTGTCGCCCAGGCTGGAGTGCAGTGGCACGCTCATGGCTGCCCCAGTGTTGACCTGCTGGGCTCCAGCGATCCTTCTGCCTCATCCTTGCAAGTAGCTGGAATACAGGCACATGCTACCATGCCCGGCTGAGTTTTTGATATATTGTAGAGACGAGGTCTCGCCAAGTTGCCCAGGCTGGTCTGGAACCCCTGGGCTCAGGCAATCCTCTTGCTTCAGGTGTTTTTCTTAAATTTAATTAATTTTTTTTTTTTTTTTTTGAGTTGGAGTCTCACTCTGTCGCCCAGACTGGAGTGCAGTGGCTGTTCCCGGCCACCACAGCCTCGACCTTCTGGGCTCCGGTGATCTTTCCGCCTCAGCCTTCCGAGTAGCCGGAATTACAGGCGTGCGCTACCACGCCTGGCTGATTTTTTGATTTATTGTAGAGATGAGGTCTCGCTGCCCAGGCGGGTCTCGAACCCGCGGGCTCAGGCAATCCATTCACCTTAACCTCCCAAAGGCGCGGGATTACAGGCTGAGCCACTGAGCCCGGCTAAATTTAATTTAAAAAAAAATTTAGATTCATGGAATGGGTCCAAATGTATGTTTGTTATGTGGGCATATTATGTACTGGTGGAAATTGGGCTACTGGTGTCCCCATTCCCCAAGTAGTGATAATTGTACCTGACAGGTAGTTTTTAAACTCCCACTATCCTCCTGATTTCTGTGTTTTATTAAAAAACAAGGTGACTCATTCAGTTTTTGGGGGCGGGAGCATTTCCAAGCAGAGTAATAATAGCTGTTAATATTTCTTCAACCCTTTTACTATGTGCTAGACACACTTCTAAGTAATTTGCATGTATCTTCTGTCTTTTTTTTTTTTTTTTTTTTTGAGTTGGAGTCTCACTCTGTCGCCCAGACTGGAGTGCAGTGGCATCTCCCGGCCACCGCAGCCTCGACCTGCTGGGCTCCGGCGATCCTTCCGCCTCAGCCTTCCAAGTCGTTGGAACTACAGGCGCGCGCTACCACGTCCAGCTAATTTTTTGATTTATTGTAGAGATGAGGTCTCACCAAGTTGCCCAGGCGGGTCTCAAACCCTGTGGGCTCAGGCAATCCACTCACCTCAGCCTGCCAATGTGGGTGACTACAGGCTGAGCCACCGAGCCCGGCTATGTATCTTCCGTCTTATAAGGCTCAGAGAAGCTTAGTAACTTGTTCAAGGTCACCAGGAAGTAAGTGGAGAGCTGTGCTTTCAACCTAGGCAGGTTGACTCGTTTGCAGTAGAGTTAAGTTGTATTGCTGATCTTGCTCCTAACATTCACTGGCATGGCAACTTTGTGCTTGTAAAGCTGATAGACATGTTTTTTGGTTTACATCAGTCTTAAGAAGAGAATTCATCTTTTCTTTTTGAGTTGGAGTCTCACTCTGTCACCCAGACTGGAGTGCAGTGGCCGCTCCCGGCCACCGCAGCCTCCACCTGCTGGGCTCAGGCAATCCTTCCGCCTCAGTCTTCCAAGTAGCTGGAACTACAGGCGCGTGCTACCACGTACAACTGATTTTTGATTTATTGTAGAGATGAGGTCTTGCCAAGTTGCCCAGGCGCGTCTCGAACCCGTGGGCTCAGGCAGTCCACTCACCTCAGCCTCCAAGGGCACGGGATTACAGACTGAGCCACCGAGCCCGGCTAGGCACTTTTTTTTTTTGAGTCGAAGTCTTATTCTGTCGCCCAGGCTGGAGTGCAGTAGCCGCTCCTGGCCACTGCAGCCTCGACCTGCTGGGCTCAGGCGATCCTTCCTCCTCAGCCTTTCCAAGCAGCTGGGACTACAGGCATGCGCTACCACGCCTGGCTAATTAAGGGGCTTCCTTTTAGGCATCAGCACACTCTTCCTTGATGGTTCCTGTCCATGAAGGCACAGCCGTGATGCTGTAGAGCAGCGGTACCCATGCGCCATGTATCCCAGACCCTCAGACCAGCTTCCTGGCAACATGAGGAAAATAGGGAGAGTGGAGTGTTTCATATGGCATTCTATGATTCGTCTTTCTGCTTCTGTAATTTTCCAGTGCCTTTTCTTTTGTTTTCTTTTTTGTTGTTGTTGAAATCTCACTTTTTCGCCCAGACTGGAGTAGAGTGGCACGCTCCCGGCCACCACTGACTCGAATTGCTGGGCTCTGGTGATCCTTCTACCTCAGCCTTCCAAGTAACCAGAACTAGAGGCATATGCTACCCCCCCAGCTAATTTTTTTTTAAATTTATTGTAGAGACAGGTCTCACCAAGTTGTCCAGGTGGGTCTCAAACCCACGGGCTCAGGCAATCCACTTGTCTCGGCCTCCCAAAGTGCTGGGATTACAGGCTGAGCCACTGACACAGTTCCTTTTCTTTTATGAATTAATGGCAGTAGTAATATAGTAATTATGATTTTTATTTGTTTTTACTTGGCAAAAAGTTAACTATTTATTAGTTATTTTGTTTTTGTTTTGTTTTGTTTTTTGAGCTGGAGTCTTACTCTGTCGCCCAGGATGAAGGGCAGTGGCATGCTCACGGCCACTGCGGCCTTGACTTGCTGGGCTCAGGCAATCCTTACGCCTCAGCTTTTCTTTTCTTTTTTTTTTTGAGTTGGAATCTCACTTGGTCACCCAGACTGGAGTGCATTGGCCGCTCTCGGCCACCGCAGCCTTGCCTGCTGGGCTTCAGCCATCCTTCCGGCTCAGCCTTCCGAGTAGCCGGAATTACAGGCATGCGCTGCCACACCTGGCTGATTTTTTGATTTATTGTAGAGATGAGGTCTCACTGCCCAGGCGGGTCTCAAACCCGCGGGCTCAGGCAATCCACTCACCTCAGCCTCCCAAAGGTGCGGGATTACAGGCTTAGCCACGGAGCCCGGCACGCCTCAGCCTTTCAAGTAGCTGGAACTATAGGTGCGTGCCACCACGCCCAGGTAATTTTTCTTCATTTATTGTAGAGATGAGGTCTCACCAAGTTGCCCAGGCTGGTCTCGAATATTTGTGCTCAGGCAATCCTCTCATCTTATCCTCTCAAAGTTGTGGAATTACAGGCATGAGCTACCGTGTCTGGCTTGTGAATTATTTTCTTTCTCATTTTAGGTATTCTTTTTCTGTCTTTGCCTGCCTGGTAATTTCTTTTTTTAAAAATTTTTTTATTTGGAGTTTCTCTCTGTTGCCCAGACTGGAGCGCAGTGGCCGCTCATGGCCACTGCAGCCTCGACCTGCTGGGCTCCGGTGATCCTTCCACCTCAGCCTTCCAGGTAGCTGGAACTACAGCGTGCGCTACCACGCCTGGCTAATTTTTGATTTATTGTAGAGATGAGGTCTCGCCAAGTTGCCCAGGCGGGTCTCGAACCCGCGGGCTCATACAATCCACTCACCTCAGCCTCCCAAAGGTGCGGGATTATAGGCTGAGCCACCGAGCCCGGCTGGTAATTTCTTATTGGATACCAAGCAGTGTGAATTTTATCGTCTAGAGTGTTGGATTTTTAAAATTTCTTGAAACATTCTTTATTTTAGGACACATCTATCTAGAAGCAGTTTG